CCCCACGAGGCCCCATCCCCTGCCTGCTCCCCCAGCCCCCCCTGAGCGCTGCTGACATCTGCCTGCTCCCCCAGCCCCCTTCCCACCCCATGGCTGCCCTGCCCCAACTCCTGGCTCTTTTAAAAAAAAAAAAAAGCCCCCACTCATCAGCTGCTGCCAGGCCGAGGGGGCGATCCCTGTTGCCCCCCCACTGCCCTACACTGTGTGGGGGGCTCTGCCATGAGCCCCCACCCTGCTCCTGCTCTCCCAGCCTCTCCATGGCTGCCCACCCAGACCCAGATCCTGGTTCTTTAAAAAAAAAGCCCCCACTCACCATCTGCTGCAGTGGCCTTGGGGCTTCAGGGGGCTTGTGGCAGAGCCCCCATGCAGCACAGGGCAGAGAGGGGTAGTAGGGATGGCCCTCACATCTGGCAGGAGCTGGTGAGTTTGGGGCTTTTTTTTTTTTAAAGAGCCAGGGGCTGGGGCTGGGCGGGGCAGCCATTGATGGGGCTGGGAAAGTGGGCAGGGGATGGGGCCTGTCCGATTCGGAGATTCAGCTGATTTGGCAGCGGCTTAATCTCCAAATCAGATTCAGCAGAATCAATTCAGGACAGTGATTTGAATCACCAAATTGAATCACTGTCCCCCGAATCGTCTGAATCTGAATCCAAAGTGAATACTAGCTGCTTTACAATTTCAACCCATTGTTAGACATGGGAGAAAAGGTGAACTTATCTTCTTTAAGATAGCCCTTCAGGTATTTGAAGACTGCTATCATGTTCCCTCTGCATTATCTTTTCTGCAAGGTAAACTTGCTTATTTCTCTAGACTTCTACTTATATGACTTGCCTTCCAAGCTCTTTATAATTGATGCTGTCTGCCTGTGGATCCTCTCTAAATTCTCCATGTCCTTTTTAAAATGTGGAAGCCAGAACAGCGCACAGTATTGTGGATGAAGCATAACCAATGCCAAGTAGTGGCATGATCACCTCGTGTTTTACACCTAATACTCCTACTGATATAACCCAAAATCACATGCACTACTTTTGCAGTTGCATAATATTTCTGACTCATGTTGCCTGTGATCCACCAAGACTCCAGGCTCTTTCTTTGCAATCCTGTGATCCATTTTGTATTTGTGCTTCTGATTGTTCTTCCCTAGGTACAGCAATTCACATTTGTCAATACTGATCTTCATGCTATCGTTTTACTCTTGTCCAGATCTTTCTGAATTATACTCCTAGCCTCCAGCATGTTAACAATACATCTCATTTTTGTCACTATTTGTAAATTTGCTCTGTTTCAGCATCCAAATCAGTAATAATCATGTTGAACAGAACTGGACCCAGGACAGACCCCTGTGTAACTCCACTTGAAACCTCCATCTATTCTAACATGGATACATTTATAATTATCCTTGCTTGTAGCTATTGTGCCATTTGTCCATCTGTCTTGTAGCAGTTTTGTCTAGCCCATGTTTCTCTAATTTATTTATGAGAAGGTTGTGTGGGACTTAAAAGCCTTGCTGAAAACCAAGAACACTATATTCAGTGCATTCCCTTCATCCACCCAATTCGTTACTTTGGTGAAGAAAATTATTTTTTTTCCTTCTGTCAGGCTAGTGTTACTTGGATTATATCTTCTTTATCCATTACACATTAATGTTTAGAACTTTTTATGTTAACATTTCTCAATTAGCTTCCTAGATATCTGCAATTCAGTTTACGGCTCTGATGCACATGAATTTGTTATTCAAACAGGTAACATACTGCAATGTTTCTGATTTGTGGTCCTCCCAGAGATTTTAACTGCTGCAAGAGAGCACAAAAGATTTTTGTCTTCTCCCTAGGGAGTTCCAAGACTGCATTGGTCAAGATGTCTTTCACTACAGCCAGGCTGCAGGTAGCTCCTACTGTCAGTCCTGAAACAGAAATATATCTGAAGAAGAATGGGTGCTGTTGTAAGCTATACTAGATTTTTTTGGTCACACTTCATTGCAGCTCAGAGACAAAAGTACAAATTACACTGCAAGTTATACTATATAAAAGCAAAGTCACATATTGTAAAGCAGAGCAAGATTTGGCTCAGATGCAATGTCAGATCTCATATAAGTGGATGCAATTCCTCTAAGGTCAATCAAATTGCATCCATTTGAATTTGGCCACATAAAATAATGTCTATAATTTATAAAACAGATGTTCAAAGTTGTATGAAATACTTCAAATGTTATGTCTGTACTATGCCTAATGCAGCTGATCAATTTTCCATATGTACGCACCTAATACATCATTTCAGTTAAAGGGTTAGGGCTTATAATTTAACATACAGACTAAGAAAATCAGCAACTTACCATCTTTCTTGTAACTCATAATGCTTAACTCTAATACTCTTGTAGGAGAAATGATAACTGGATGAAAAGTCCCTTTAAGTTTCATGTCAAGTCCTAAACAGGAAAAAGTATTCCAAGGTTTAGATAAAGAGATGGAGATGGCACCAACATTTTCAGAACTGTCATTATGACAAAATGCTTCATTGAAGTTCCTAAAAATGTCTAAATCCTACCACAGCTTTTAACAACACAGGGCCAGTTTGTGCCACTGATTTTAATGGCACAAATGTACCCCATTCTACAAGTAACCTTACCGAACTCAAAAAGACTCTAGGAGACTTTTTTGCCATGAGCAAAAAAGGCAAATGCAAGCCAATAATAAAGAGATATATATCCCAAATTACATATTTAACCTTTTCAATTATTACTAAACAGTCTTTATTTACCCAGGTGAGGAGCATGAATACAAAGAAGCTGAAGAAAATGCTTTAATAATCCTTTAAGTCAAGGGTGTCAAACTCCCCTTCCCACCAGGGCCTCTGGCCATATCCAAACCATGGATGCTCCTGCCAGGCCAGATTCAGACTGTGGGGGCTCCTCCCAGGCCAGATCCACAGAGACAGCAGCAGCTATGGGTCTCAGCCTGCAGCAAGCAGCACAGGTCCACATTCAGGTGGTGGCATGGGTTGGTGATCAGGCAGTGTGGATCAGGGGGTTGGAAGTGGCACAGTTGGGAAGTGGGAGGTAGTGTGGGTTGGGGATTGGGCAGCAGTGTGGGTCCAGGGGTGCGAAAGAGTGCAGGTCAGGGATCAGGTGGCAGTGTGCACTGGGGAGTGGGTGACACTAAGGCCAGGGAGAGCTGTATATGTATAGTCCTTGCTCACACCTCTGCTCCTGATGGCCATGTCCACTGGGTTGTAGAGACCTCAAATTCTTTGGCAGGCTATGCTCACTGGCCATGCTCCCCAAATTCCAGTAGCTGCTGAACTATTGGCAGGCTGGCTGGAATGATTCCATGTGCCAGATTTGGCCCATGGGCCTTGTGTGTGATACCCCTGTCCTATAGAGCAGGTGAGTGCCACAGGGCTGGTCTACAGGCTGGATCAAGGCTGTGGGGTTGATCTTCAGGTGCAATAAGGTACACCAGACTGGCCCCACAGGCTAGATCTGACTGTAAACCAACCCCACATGCCATCATAACATGGAATTAATTATCCTAGAAATAAATTCAGAAAACAGATATGAGTCTAATTTTTTTCTGGCAGATTTTTCTGTATTCATTGTTTGATTCTACCTTGCCAGCTCTGATATTTCCAACAATAAGAAGTGCTCTGGGTTTACCTACCTACACCAGTATTCCCTACTGCTAGAGGTGCTTTGGGATACTTGTCTTTCAGTTCCAGAAGTTCCATTAAACTAATAGGGGAAATCCATGTAATTCTCTCACCACGGAAAACCAGAGTAGATTTTTGCAGATCTTCAGCCATTCTCTGTAGATGAAACAAATTATTCATATAAGTGCTAAAAAAACACTAAAGTAGCTGAAGAAAATGAAAAATAATGCTGGAGAGAAAATTAACTGAAGCAAAACTTTTCACAAACAAACATCCAGAAATAAATAGGGAATAGAACAAAGTTAAAGTGTATTGACCCAGTGACAGTGTCACTACTATCTAGTACAAGTGTGAACATAGTCCAAACCTCCAAACATTAAGTGATGTGAGTAGTAATTAGTCATCTGAATAATTGTATTATAGATAATTGGATTAGTCATGTAAATACATCAATGACAGGATAGGGACTCTGAGGATATTACTCAGCTAGCACAGAGCACTGGCATTTCATTATTTTGGGGTCAGATTGTCCTAACATTATTGATAATATTTATTCATTCATGTAGTGCCACTAATATTCACATGAGCAAACACTATAAAATATGAGTATGTTTGTAGAACTTGGCTCATAAGAACAAGATTCTATTCCTATTTCTATTCTATTAGGTGCCTAAGTGGTATTTAGGGGTTAAATACCATCCTATTCCACTTTGCTTGAGTGCCTGAAAAACAATTAATGCAAAAAGCAAATAAGTCCTCCTCTTTATTACTGTTTTTGTGAGTTGGCCTTAAGGCTAATATGCAGGTGCATCATCACTTTTTTAGGGACTTGAACAATGTAGAAATAGGATCTTGCCTCAAGTGTATTTACAAAAACCTAATTTTCCTAGCATAGTGTTAAAATATAATTTAACGGTTGCCCTATTAATGCAGAAGTGTAGTTGTGTCATTCACATTTGTATGACATTGTGTATACATACATATCTTGGTATGGGCTTCTAAAATCTGTACTCCATATTTTATTTTTTAGAAAAAAAGATACTTGTAAGACTCAGTTCAGCCCTGATCCTTTAATAAGACCTGTGGAGGAAGAAAGCTGAACCTGGGCAAAGCCCATTAAAACCAAAAGACTTCTGTATAGGTTTATCTGCCTGGGTTGAGCTGCAGAATGAAACCCCTACATACCCCAATAGACTGCATATCTGGATTTTTGCTAAAAGATACTAAAACCATTCAAGATACTGCATATATCTCCAATAAATATATGACATAACAAATGAGATGTACTTAGCATATTATTCATAATATCCGCAAGCTAAGCTAGGAGTAGATTCTTACTATTAATTCAGGTGGAAATATAAGATCCTGAGTTGCATCCAGGAGCCACAAGTCATCTGTGGTAGACAGTTCTGTGCAAATCTTAAGAAAAAGAAAAAAATCCCAAATACTTCAGTGTTTCATTTTCAGCCTTAAACTGCAAAACTGCTTTGTTGTTGGAAGAAGAAAAACAATGCAGAACTTGAGGATCTTGTTGAGTATAATGGTTCCCTTACAATTAAAAAAATAGTTCTGATAATACATAATCATTGCTAGGCATTTTTTTACTGTAGTTTATGTGCTAATCGATTCCATAGCAACCAAAAGATTAAACAGGGGCCTTGTTCATGACAATATTATACTAGAATTCCACTAAAGAGGAGCACAATTGTTTCATTGATGCAAAAATTTCATTATGAAACTCAGGGAAGGCTAAAATAAAAGTCACAAACCCAGAATATAGCAAGTGTCTGGAAATATGCAAGCAAATTAAATCAATCAAATATTCATACTGTTCTCTCAGGCTTTAAGTCTGCAAATGTTTATGCACATGAATAAATTGTGAGTCAATAGTTGGAAGACCTCATGTTAAAAAAAATACTGTGCTTATAGTGTTAACCAAATATTTTAAAAAGCAATAGGAGTAAATAAACACTGCCATGGACCAAAATAAAAATACTCATAATAAAATATTACATTGCATTATAAAACATTCAAAGAAAGAAAGAAAATGAATACACATGGAAAAAACTCAATCCTGCCTTTCCAAAAACGCTGGAGATTTGCAAATTGCTCATTTTATCTCCATGGAGCAGCCTGAAGTCACCCAACAAGAGCTAGCTAGTATAGCCCAGAGTTAAGTTTCATGTGAAGTGGTGTAATTTTGGGATGCTTATGTAGCACTTAGCATGAGTTAACAAGCTTTAATGTGCAGACACTCATGTTTTAAATGGTGTAAATGTAACATGTAACTTCACTCTCACTGATCTACAAGTATGACCTCATTTAGAGCCTTTTACGGCTAGGCAGCTTGGAAGTGGTTAATATCTGGAAAACTGTAGTGAGATCTGCATCTGTTTTTGGGGAATAAATAAAAAACATTCTTGGCCATTGTTGGTACATGATTATTCAAGAGCATCTGAGGATACATCAAAATGCAAAACTGAACAACCAGTAGACCCTGATCAAGGGAGTTAATATAACCTCTTTTTTGTCTTCCTGAAAAACTGTAGCCTACAACAGATAGCGTGGCTCTTGACAGGTAATTCAGGTTGACCAGGCAATTCATATGCAGGACAGACACTGCATAAACAGCTGAACTGTATCATGTGGGTGCAACAAAAGATTTAATTTCTAAAAAGAGCTAATTGATAATCTCTTATCACAGAGAGATGTAGCGTGATATAGCCATGAAGATACACATTTCTTTATGTTCATGGGCCTCCCGAGCCAGGGGGCCATTAGCCCCCACAGCGGCCAGTCAGCAACCAGGGGGCGTTCCCCCACAGCTGATTGCGTCGACCGGGGTAGGGGTGTTGGGCTAAAGTTAATTTGTCTTTATATACTCTTGACTTTGCCTTTATAATATCCTTTATTGCAGGAGTAGGCAACGTTTTTTGGCTGGAGTGCCAAAAACCCCACAATGTCTACCTTGGAAGGTGCTGGAGTGCCGACATGCCGGAGCCTGGAGCAGCTGTTTGCAGCCTCCTGGCTGCAGCCAGCCCACGGAGCTTGCAGCAGGGCTTGCAGCCTCCCAGCTGCCTGCTGGGAGCAGCCTGGGCTCCATGGCTGGCAGCAGCTGCTTAGAGTCCGAGCTGGCAGTGGTGTGCCGAGCAAAATGGCATTGTATTCCATTTTCGGCACGTGTGCTAGGGGTTGCTGACCCCTGCTTTATTGCTTTGTTAATTATTCTAATATTATAAAAGCCTAAATTCATCTGGCTGGCTGTCTGCCTGTAATGCTGTGTTCGCGCTGTGACTGGCTGACAAACAGCCAATCACAGCGCGAAGAAATGTTCTGACAGAAGGCAGCTCACCACCATGATGGTGGGGGGAGAGGCCCACCTTGCTCCCTGAAGGCAGAAACAAAAGAGCGTACCTGCAGGCAATGCAGGGGGGAGGAGAGCAGGCCTGGGCCCAATGTGGGGTTGGGGGGAGTGGGCCCACGAGGGGGAAAAGCCAGCCCACCGCAGTGGGGGGCATGCCAGCAGACCTGGCCGGATCTGACCACAGCAGCAGCTGGAGGAGGGACGGAGCGGGCCCCCTCTTCGCTTTGGGCCCGGGCCCACTCCTCCCCCACCCCCCTCACCTGCGTCGGCCCCAAGCCTGCTCCTCCTGTCCAGCCCAACACGGCAGCTGTGGGGGGAGGGGAGGAGCGAGCCTCCTCCCTCCGTCGGGTCAGGGCCCACTCCTCCCCCCATCCCCCTGTGTCAGCCCTGAGCCCACTTCTTTCGTCCCCCGCTGCTGCTGTTTTGGCCTGGGCCCACTGCTCCCCACCCCATCCCTCTGCCATGGTAGGTCAGCTTCTCCCCACCCTTGGCCCTGGTCCTCTGCCACATTGGCTCTGGGCCTGCTCCTCCCTTCCACCCACCACTGCAACGGGGAGGGGCGGAGCAGGCTTGGACCCCAAGCAGCAGGAGGGAAGGGGGAGTGGACTCGGATGGGTGGGGGGGACCCGGGCTCCATCCCCACCCAGTCCCCACCCCCATCATTTTTGACAGGCAATTGGCTAGTTATTTTATAACCAATATTCATTTTAGTTTGCTCAAATAACTGTGTAACTTAGCCTTAGTTGAGACTCCATTTTGATTTTTACATTGCTTAGCATAAGTGTAACAGTCAATTTGCTTTGTGATTTTGTACGTTAAACATAGTACAAGAGAAGTAGTATGTATACAAGGCCTGTACTATGTCTGGGATGTTTGAAAAGAAGTAATGAAAAAATAAACAGTGTGTGTGTGGAAATACGTTGAGACAGTCTGTCTTGCAACTCAGACTAGAAGGTTAGAAATAGCTTTCTGTGATTTAACAGCCAAAGGTTATAGCAATGTCCAAAGATCAGCAGTTAAAGATTGCAAAATATAAGATCAGGTTTTGTTTTAATGGCTGAATAAATTGCAGACAACACATGGAAGAAATTGCAGACCACAAAGCTGAAGAGTTTGTCAATCATAACATCGTAACTGAAGAGGAGGATCATTTTGTCATCAAGGGGACATGACACAGTAAGACCCATAGACTTGTATGGGGAACAATTACTATAAAGATGGACAAGAACAAAGAAGCTTTGGGTCTGCCCTGCAAACAAGAAGCAGCATCAGAAAAAAGCATCCAGCAAAGACCTGGCTTCAACCTCGTGGTTAACTTGGCTGGCTACCAAGCTAACCCGAGCATCTTAAGGACTGGTAATATCTTGATATGTGCAGGACTGTCTATATGTATGCGAATAAATGGGTATGTATGTATGAGTATATGAGTATGTATGTGTGAGTGTATGAAATAGGAAACACCACCTTCTGTTGTTCTTTCATTTTGTTTTATGTTTTCAATAAATGTGGCACTCCCGACAAGCGCCACATCCCAATAAGATTCCTGCTTGTTTTTAATTCACACTGTACGCCCTGTGCATACAATAGGGGGGTCCCCCTGTGGCCAATCACACCGATGTGGAGGTGCCAGCAATGCACCACTGGCACTTCCGGGCATGCCATTGGCACTTATGGGCCTGTGTGATCAGCCATGGGGGAACCCCCCACCCAGTCAGCATGATTGGCTGTGGGGGAGACTGCAGGGATTGCTTCTCCTAGTGCCTCCACTCCCCAACTAGCGCTCTCAGGGGGGGCTCCAATGCTCTCACCTACCCCACCACCCATCACCTAAGTGGGGAATGCTGCTGTCAGGGGGTGAGCACCAGCGCTCACAGGGGGTGCACGTGCACACCCGTGTGCACCCTCTATGTGTCTCCACTGCTTATGTTACTGACAAAAATCTGAGCTGAATGGATTTAAATGTCTTAGATGCAGATCCATCTTCTATGAAACAGATTACCATTCTTTCCCTTTCAGACGATTTATAGTAGAGTTAGATGTAAATGAGATATAAATGAAAAATACTTACCTCATTTTCCTCCTCAGGAAATGAGGTCACCTTTTCTTCATCCAAGCAATTGTTCCCTTTGTTGCTGCTCACTTGGCAACAAACTGATTCCTGAAGTAGTGATATTACACACAATCTCATTTAATACATTATTTAAAATGAACTATACTCAAAATGTTGTCAAAATAAAGAAAACAAACTGGATCAGAAGAAGAAAGATTATTTACTCAAATTCTTTCAGAAACAGTAATCTCATGGCCAAATATTTCAGACAGAAATGTTGTTTAAATTAATGGTAGTCCTTTAAACTGAAGGGATTGAAAAGGGAGTTAATATGTGAACCCAGTCCAGACGCCATCATATGGGGTCACAGAATAACGCCATTACAACACTGAGAAAAAAAAATAAGAGAACTACCTCTGACAGGATCCCACATTCAGTACCAACAGTTTGCACATGTGATTTTGTTCATATCTGCAGATCTATAGTATATCTAAAAGGGAAGTGTTTGGGAATTCACCTGGGATAATAGCTAGATAATTTCTACCCACCTTGCAGAAAGTCTTGCAGCTTTCTATTATTGGTCTGTATCCAGTACAGCGGCACAAATTACCTGATTTAAAATAATAATTAATTAAAAACATTCTAGACTTCTATTTGCCATATTAAAATGTTTTAGAAGCTGAAGTAAGTGTGGATGTGGACTCAAAATGACAAGAAATAAAGTTTTTTTGTTTGGAGGACCCTTGATAAGACAGATTTTTCATACTATGTGAGGTCAAAACACTGAACATGATCATCTTGAATAATAGCTTGACACGTGTGAGGTGAGATACTGTACATGATTCTTTAATAAAGAAAGTTCTGACTAGAATCCACTGAACATAATATATTGGTATTGTGATTACTAGTTAGCTGCAGTAATATCAATGGATATCCAGAAAGATTGGTATTTCCACATTAGTTTTGAGAGAGAGAAATTCCCACTTGAAGAGTTCTGAAAGAGTTCAAACTCAGCATTGGAGAATGCCGTCTTTAGTATAAACTGTATTTACTCAAATCTAAGATGACCCTACATTTAAGACAACCCTCCAATTATTACAGTGGACATGGGAAATTATAAATTTGTTTTAATTTTTCATGTTTGGAATCTAGTTATTGGAGGGTCCTCTTAAATTCATTCCTCCCACCACTGCCATCAACAAAGTAGTGGCAGGGGAAAGCAGCGGCTGGGGGGCAGGTAGTCTGCCATATGCCCCTTATCCCTCCCTTGCCACTTGCCCCCTCATGCCTGTCCCCCTGCCATCCATCCCTCCTCATGCCTTTCTCCTCCTACCACTTGTAACCTTCTTGTGCCTGCCCCTTCCCCCTAACAGCTGCAGCTTTACTTGCTCTGTTTCCACTGGGGCCATGGAGCACCTGGCTAGGCCAAGTAGCAGCAGCAGCTCTGACTTCAGCTTCCAGTCCCAGTTGGGACCAGAGCTGCAACAGCTCTCCTGGGTCCTCTGCGTGCCTCCTTCCCCATGCTCACTCTGCTCTTTGCATCCCTTTCTCTGTGCTCCCCTTGCACTGTGTGCCCCTTCCCTGTGCTCCTTTCACTGCATACCCCACTTCCCCTACACCTTCGGCATCCCTTTCCCCATGACCTATCTGTGAACTCCCCGCACTTTGCACATCCCTTTCCCATGCTCTTCCCAGAACTATGCATCCTTTCCCTTGTGCTCCCTCCTGCACTGTGCACCCCCTCCCCATACAGCTCTCCTGTGTTCCCTTCCCTGTACTCCACATGGCCCTTCCCCCGCACCCCCATTGCTCTATGAGTCCCTTCCCGTGTTCCTCCCCGCACCACACTCCCCTTCTGTGCTCCCCTTGCTCCATACATCCTTTCCCAAACAATCCTCCTGCTGCCCTTTCCCTGTGTTCCCTCCTTTCCCCTGCACTCCCCTCTACACCATGCACCCCTTGCCACGTGTCCCCTTTCCCTGTACCTCCTTTCTCAGTGCATCCCTTCTCCTACAATTCCCCTGCGCTCTGCCCACACCATGTGCCCCTTCCTGGCCCATGCTCTCCTATACACCCACTACCTGCCACATACACTACTTCAGCTCCATCTGGAGTTGCAGCAGCTGCTTCCCTGGCCTGTACTCAATTCTAAGATGAGAGGTTTTTTCCCCTCATGTTGAATGGGGGGAAAAAACCTGTCTTCAGTTCAAGTAAATACAATAATTATCACTCAAAACAGCTTCTGTACTAGAAGACTGGAGGGTAGCCAATGTCATGCCAATTTTTACAAATGGCTCCAGAAGGGATCCAGGGAATTAAGACCTGTGAGCCTGACCTCTGTTTTTGGTAAACTATTAGAAAATATAATAAAAAATAGGATTTTCAGGATCCTAAATAGGATGGACAGGTCCTGCTAGGAAACAGTCAACATGGCTCTTGTAAAGGGAGTTTACGCATCTCCAGTCTACTAGAGTTCTTTGAGGATGCCAATATGCATGTGACTGAGGATGTTCAAGTTGATAGAGTATATATGAAAAAGGTTTCTTTTTTTATAAAATTCTGCATCAAGGGCTCTTACTGAAATTAGACTGTCACAACATTAGAGGTAAGGTAAACTCATGGATTGATAACTGACTAAAAGACAGGAGTAGGTATAAACAGTTAGTTCTCAAAATGGGGGATGTTAAGCGGGAGGATTCCCTAAGCACCTGTGCTATGACCTGTACTGTTTGACATAATCATAAATAATATGGGTTCACAGTGAGATGGCTAAGTTTGTGGATGACACAAAATTATTCATGGTGGTAAAAAGCAAAATTGACAGCAAAGAATTCATAAACTTCAGAGGAGCTCATAAAATTGAGTGAACAGACAACAAGATGGCAGATGAAGTTCAATGTTGATTAGGGCAAAATGAAGCATGTGGGAAAAATAAACTGAGATGAACATACATGATGATGGACTCTATATTATCTGTTATTGAGCAAAAGATCTTGGAATTCTTGTGGCTAGTTCTCTGAAATATCAGCTGTGTTCAGCAGTAGTCAAAAAGGCAAATAGTATGTTAGGAATTATAAAAAGGAAACTGAAAACAAAACAGAAACTGTCATCATAAATCAATGATAATCCTACACCTTGAATACTATGTGCATTTCTGTTCCCTTACCTCCTAAAGGATATAGTAGAACTAGAAAAGGGACAGAGAAGGGCAACTCAGGGTCCAAGCAGCTTGATAGCCCAGGTAATACCCATGCCCCAATCAGTCCAGTGGCTTACTAGCCCAAAGTAGCTCCCAAGGTGAACCCGACCACCAAAGCAGTTCATGGGGCTTATCAGCATACAGCAGCTTATAACCCAAATCAATCCCAAGTTTCCTTGCCCTGAAAAGTATACAAGGAAAAAAAGAACAGTGCCCAAGTTGCAGCCTCCCAGCTCCCTTTATAACTGTCCCATGCCTTTTGGTGAGGCACCTGTCTCCAGGCTGCTTCTCAGCCTTGTATAGACATTTAGGTTCTTCTGGGAGACTTGCTGCTGTCCCAAGAGAAATCCCGAGTGCATAGATGTTCCAGCTTTTTTTCCCAGAGTTAAAATGGCCTCTCCAGGAGAAAAATAACCTGGAAACAACCAGTGTTAAATCACTTCCAGAAGAGCTTCTCCTGGGAAAGCGAATGTCTGTACATGCTCATACCACAGGCTGACCATGGGCAGTCTGGGTTAGCCAACCAGGGCTGCCCTATGCACTACTGCCTCTGTTACTGTGTGGACTAAGGGAACCTGAAGAGCATACTGAGATATGTGCATAGCACCGCCCACCAGTGTCTGCAAGCTCTCCAGTCTTGAGGGCCACGGTACTGGAATGTATACATGTGACTCTGGGTAAGATTTTTTACAAGAAGAACAAACCTGGGAGAATTTTCCCAGATTATTTGAATGTGTATATGCAGCATCAGTCAAGTTGGTCATAGCTCAACTCAATCCCCTCCAGCTGCCTTCTTTTTTGTGCCTCAT